GGTTCTGCGGCGGTAATTTGGGCAGGAAAACGCAGGATAGGAATGGTGGGGTAGTGGTAAAGTGGTGGTATTTTGGGAAAGTCAATGTAAATTTCAACTTTTATTAAACTCCGTGCCCGGTCGAAGCGGGACCATTAATTTTGGACAGAGGGAGTATATAATTGGAATATGACCACCATTATGAAGCTGAATTAGGATATTGCTAGTAAAAATTATGTACCATGGGTTAAGTGGAACCACGATATGCACATTAAAGGGGCTGATTTTTTGGAACTGTATTCCAAGTAAGGACTCCTAGAAAGATATGATCAGAATTAAAGCGTTTTTAGGTCAATGCCTATTAATAAAGAGTGTTGCGTGAAAGATGGATATGATTGGCTTTAGGAACTCGCTCCTCTAAAGTTCCAGGTGGTGGTATGGCTTTGTGATATGGCTTTGCATGCGAAGATGATTACAAACTAAGGATAGACTAGTGAGATTATTGCCTATTGATATGAGATATGATTTATGTGAGGAAGAGATTGAAACTACCAAACATCTATTTTGGAGCTATCATTTTGCACAGAGGGTTTATCAGCTGGTATTTGGTAGGTATAACTTGCTTTTTCAAGCTACTAACATAGAAGAGATAGCGGCAGTAATGCTGAAAGTTAAAGGGAGAATGCCAAGAATGAAATTTATTGCTATATGGGCTGCGTGTGCATGCATACAGTATTTGGAGAGTTAGAAATAGGATTATTCATAATAAAAAGTTCACGGTGGATGACTATTGTGAGTATGTTACCGCTTATATGGATTCCTATTTTATGTATAAGAGAGTGAGGTAGTAGCTTGAGATTTTGTTTGCTTGTTTATTGTTGTTAGCTTGTATCAAACTCATGAATTTGGTAATGAATGATGTGCTTTCGTTGAAAAAAAATCTATTTTGAATACCACTAGACTTTTGTTGAATTTTTAATGATGTTTTAAAATCTTAAATGAATAACCTCCGTCCTGAAGTATTTGTCCATTTTTTATTTTTTCGATCAAAATTGGTAAACTTTGACCTCAAATTAAATAAAAATAATTTTAGATATTGATACAAATTAGTTTTATTTGATTTATCACATGAAATATTTTCAAAATATTATTTTATTTAATTAAATAGTTTTATTAGATTTATTATATGAAACGGTCGGTCCTTATGAAACTTGCTTTTTGAGTCTTTCTAGTCTCCCGCGTTCGAATCCCGCGACACACTTATTTTTTTCCTTCTCATTTCGTCCGATGTCCGCCCTCACATTCCGACCCTAAGTTCCTATTCGTTTTAAATATCATCCAAAGAGGTAAATAATTAAGGTTTTGAATCTGAAATACGGAGTACTCGATTTATTTTGCTATGCGTTTGGTTATTTTGCATTTGATGTTTTGAATTGCTGTATATTTGATTCTCTTATTTGCTCTGCATTTTTTTTAGTGTAAGATATAAAATGAGTCTTTCATTTGTGAGTCCTGAGTTGAAATTTTGAATTTTTTTCTTTTGAGATTTTATATTTGGATCTTGATTTCTTGATAGTTTGTTGTTCAGTATGGTATTCAAAAAGATTAAAAAGTTTCATTTTGAGTTTATATTGATGGTTGATATTAGATTAAATTTCATAGTTGCTTCTCGATTTCTTGGCAGTTGATTTTTTCCATTGTGATGAATAATTCTCTCCATGGATTTGTAATTTCGTGTGGCTAGTTGCTTTATCTTTGGGTATTTCTTCAGTTATAATTATTTGAGGACAATAATAGTTGTTCATACAATGCATAATTGGTTCATTCTACTTTAGGATACAATGACATTTCAATAAACAAACACGTTTTTAGAAACTCGAATCAAGTGAGAGTGATTTTAATTTGAATTCAAATGAGCCTCCATTTTCCAACCAACCATTAGAAGTAGTTGTTCATTTTGATGTTATTTAAAAGCATGTTAAAAAACACAAAATTTGAATCTTTTGGATTTTCACCCAAATGTTCAAATGAAATATATACTCCCTCCGTCCTATAATGTTTTTCCCACATACTTTTTATACGGTCAAACTTTAATCACTTTCTTTACCTATTTTCATTAGGTAAATGATAAAATAATATAGTCTTGTCACCACTTGTTTTGTAGAACTTTTGATGTAGTTTTTAAAAATATAAATTTTATTTTTTAATTTTATACCTATAATCAAATAAATTGAATTGAAAATAAAGTCGGTCAAACTTCGTAAAATGAACCGGGATGATTATTATAGGACGGAGGGAGTATGTTGTACACAATCATCTTCAATACGTGGGTATCCCAACCTTTTCGCATTTGGGATCCAATGAGTTGATTTTCCTTGATCCGCCTCACTTGTTCTCCTTTTTTTTTATAGATTGTGAAAGATACACTCAAAGTAGATGGCCTCTCTTACACTAAAGATGCATGAGCAAAATGGTTTCACCATTTTGCAGCCAACCATTAGAAGTAGTAGTTCATTCCGAAGCTATTTTTGGATTTGAAAAAGTATGTTAAGAAACACAAAATTTGAATCTTTTGGATTTTCACCCAAATGTTCAAATGAAATATATATGTTCTACATAATTATCTTCAATACGTTGGTATCCCAACGTTTTCACATTTGGAATCCAGTGAGTTGATTTTCCTCACTCATTTTCCTTTTTTATAGGATCGTGAAAGATATACTCAAATTAGATGGCATCTCTTACTTATTCAATATCACGAAGCCTTGTAAGAAATTTTGTGATCGGCCACACATGAACATTCCCAAGATGCATGAGCAACATGCCCGAGAATACGGTGTATGGTGGTCCCAAGCTGCAGGACCCAAACAAAAGAACAACACTAGCCACTCTGAGACAGAAACATCAGAAGGGAGAGCCCATAACCATGGTGACTGCGTACGACTACCCTTCTGCGGTGCATCTTGACATGGCCGGGATTGACATATGTCTTGTGGGCGACTCTGCTGCCATATGGTGGTTCACGGCCATGACACCACTCTGCCCATCACCCTTGACCAGATGCTTGTGCATTGTCGAGCTGTTGCCAAAGGGGCTAAATGCCCTTTCCTTGTTTGTGACCTCCCTTTCGGTAGCTACGAGTCGAGCACCACTCAGGTGATTCTTAGAACCTAATGTCTTCGGTATATGTTTTTTTTTTCTTCAAATATTTTATTAATTCTCGTGTTTCACTAATCTCTTAGCATTGGGAATAATAGATCTACTATGACCAAAGAAAATAAAATGAGAGGGAAAACAGTTTTTCATGTTTGGTCAGAGAGGAAAAGAAAAGAAAAGTGGAAGGAAAAGAAAATGACAAGGCAAAATTACTAAGATGAGAGAAAACCATTTTCTTGTCTTTTCCTTCAAAGTTCCTTGAAACCAAACATTGTTCTATGAAATCGACACTACGCCAAAAACAGAATCAGACGACTGTTGAGTAACTACTATTTATGCAAACATAGTAGTTGAAAAAAACAGACTACTATAAGTTTTTCTTAGAAACATAATAGTCTAGCTGTTATGCTTTAAAACTATTTTTAAAGTATCGAGAAACGGTAATGTATCATTAGTTGTCTGTCTCAGTTCAAAATACAGTTTTTCTTACAACAGTTGTCAATAACATGTTAAGAATATTCTATTTAAACAATAGTCTAGTTTTTATTCTAGAACTGTTTTTAAACTTATTAGAAACAGTTATCTATTGTTTGTTGTCTGTTTCATATGATTTTTTTGCCACTGTTGTTTATAATAGGAATAGAAGACTCTTTTGTAACAATAGTCTATGAATTATGGGTAGAACTTTTTTGAAGTTGTGAGAAACGGTTATCTATTATTAGTAGTCAGTTTCGTAAAAAAATACAGTTTTTATTGCCACAGTTGTCAATAATTAGTTAAGACTACTATTTCCTAACAGAAGTCTGGTTTCCCAGTGTATAACTGTTTTTAAACTTATAAGAAATAGTAATGTATTACAAGTAGTTTGTGTCACACTGTTTTTTTCACGGTTATCTATAATAAGTAAAGAAAACTGTTTTAAGAGAATTGTGCATATTAAGCCTAGAACTATTTTAAAAGGTAAGAATACTCATTTTAAATAGTAGTCTAGCTTTTAAGCCTAAAACTATTTTAAAAGTTCAGAAAAACGGTAATCTCTTTTACATTGAAAATGTATACGCTCTCTAACTTTACATTCATACTTTCGGGCAAAATTTATACAACAATCAAATAACCATTGTTCCAAACAATTATATGGACATAAAAAAATAAACACTTCCATTAATCAAGTAATCTTACATCATAAAACCAAAAAACAATGAGAAGATGGCGAGATGCAAATAAGAGTACACAAAATTTATGAAAAACGAAATTAAGAGTACATTGACTATCTTCAATCCAAAGTAGAAAAAAAACAAAATACAAAGAATGAAACACCATATTCTAAAATTACTCAAATCTAAGAATAAAGACCAAATCTTCAAGGTAGGAGTGCCAATTACACAGAGCTTGGTTTTTAGCCATGGTTTTACTCTCCCAATTACACAGAGCTTGGTTTTACCCTCAGCTGTACTCAAACCTATAACACTGGTGTTGGCAGACTTGAAGTGGTGGCTTGAGCTACTGGATTTGGCATGGCAGTAGCACTACCAGGGGCCTTTGGGCCATCTCCATTTTTGAGCTTCGTACACCGTCTTCTCCTAGCTCTTTTGGGGGTTTGGCCACTAGTTGTGGTTAACGCCCCATTATTAGCCAGTTTATACCTCCTCCAAAGAGCGTGTAAGGCTCCATTTACTAGAGAGTCCATTTTCCCCTCTTTTGAAATCAAAGCAAATCACAATCCAAGTTCGAGACAACAAATTCCTTGTGTTTGAGGTGTTGTAAATGAAAGAAATTAGGTCGATGCCTCTTATATTCATTCTTCAAAGAAGAAGTCTTAGCCAAAATAAAGAGCCATAATCAAAACTTGTGGTAACATATTAGTGGTTCAAAACAAAAGTCATGAATAACCCTACTCAAAAACCAAAACCATAGCCATAAATTGCAATTTGTAACCCGTGAAGCAAGAAAAATGTTAATATGAACTATGAGCATAAACATAGTTCCCAAAAAAGATTTATTAATAGAAATTGTGCTTTCAATAGTTAAAGCATACAAACTTCTAAATGAATGAAAAAGAAACAATGGATTACTTGTAATAATGCCCCGTCCCTAAAACAAACAAATTTATAATTTAATTCTTAAGAATGATAAACTATACGTTATAGCTAAAAATTGTAACATATATTTTTTCAAACGAACAATTCAGGATGATGATGAACCATTACCAAAGACCTTAAACACGCCAAATAACAACAAACTAGGGATGTAAACAAATCAAATATTTTAATTTCGATTCGCGATTCGTATTCGAATATGATGATTCGAATTCGCGTTATTCAAATACAAATACAAATTCAAATATTATTTTTGATTCGAATATTAATCAAATACAAATACAAATAGGGATATATTCGAATATTCGAATATATGTATATATACACAGACCATGTTTTCAACATCAAAAGTCAAGCAAAGTAATATAGTATAAAGTGTATTTAAAATACTAAGAATTCAATAAATTAACGTAACACAAAAATCTAAAGCATATGATTTTTAATAGTTATATTTTATAAAATATAATTTGTGTAAGATGCAAATGTATTAAGGTTTTTATATACGGAATATAGTATAGGATAAAGAGTATCGTAAGTTAAATTACAAATTGATGTTGGTCCATTATATAAATTACATAGTATGATTATTCAAATATTCGTTTATGATTCGATAACTATTCGAATATTAATCAAATACTTATTCAAATCTTATTTTGAATTCGTCTCATATTCGGATTCGGATTCGTATTCAAAAAAATTAAACAAATACAAATTCAAATATATCGGTATTCGCTTCGATTCGGTTCGTTTACACCCCTACAACAAACAATGACCAATTTTCCATCAAGCTACCCTCACAAGCTATATTAGAAGACAAACACCAAAATCAGTCAAGGCCAGGCAGTCCTCAACAAAACAGCAAAGAATGAACTTATCATCACAAACATCCACAAAAACAACAAGAAGGCCTTTAAAGCACGATTAAGAACCACACAAAACTTGGACAAAAGGTATTCAAAGACCTGATGCAATTCGTCATCCAGCGCTGTGTCGAAACAGTAAAATTGCAGCCCAAATCGCAACAAAATCCAAATGGATTTGGAATCCATCAACATACCTTGAAAGAGTCCCTCAAATCGCTTAGAATCTCAGAAGTGTTAGAAATGTTAAACAAAGGAATAGTATCAAACAAAGGAATAATATTGATGACTAAGATAATATCCTTGATTGGAATCAAATTACCAATCAAAGATATTTTATTATCTTCCACTTACCTTCCTTGATTGTCTAGATTATTCACTTTGTAATATTTATACTCATCATTTGATGATGAATTGAATAAGATGAATATTATGCTGTGAATTCATTCTAATATTTCTAATATGGTATCAGAGCCATCATTCGATCAAACAATTGAATGAAACGCAGCATTCATCATATACCATAAAAAAANNNNGATAATATCCTTGATTGGAATCAAATTACCAATCAAAGATATTTTATTATCTTCCACTTACCTTCCTTGATTGTCTAGATTATTCACTTTGTAATATTTATACTCATCATTTGATGATGAATTGAATAAGATGAATATTATGCTGTGAATTCATTCTAATATTTCTAATATGGTATCAGAGCCATCATTCGATCAAACAATTGAATGAAACGCAGCATTCATCATATACCATAAAAAAATGTCCGATAAAACTCCTCAAACGGGCAGTTCCATAAACACAGAGGAATCTGACCCGAAAAATCAGCCGATCAATCTTGCACAAATTCTGGAAATTCTTCAAAATTTTTAGAATTTGACACCCAAGGCCGAACCTATCGAGAGCTCTTCCAATCAGCCATTAAATATGGCGGAAAAGCTCAACGATAGGAACTACGCCATTTGAGCACGTAAAATGAGTCTGGCGTTGGATGGGAGAGGGCGGCTCAAGCACATCACTGCCACACCTCTCAAATCTGATGACCCCAAATTTATCAAATGGAGACAAGCAGACTCAACGGTTATAACATGGATTCTAGAAAACATAGAATCGGATATTGTCAATCAATATATCGATTATCCTACTACTTGGGATCTGTGGAAGGGAATCGAAGCCACCTACGGCTTCGGGAAAGATCCCTTGCAGGTATACAACTTGATGGTGAAAGCTAGCAGCATCAAACAAGGAGACCAGACACTAGAGAAGGTCTATAGCCAATTGCAAGCTGTGTGGAAGGAAATCGACAGGAGGCGACCCAACCCGATGAAATGCCCAGAGGATATGACGATTTTCACACAAATTCAACAACAAAATCGTCTGTATTAATTTCTACAAGCCATAAACGAAGAGTTTGATGTAGAAAAACGTGATATCCTCAAAACAGATCCCCTCCCCTCCGTAGAAGAGGCATACGCCCAAATCAGGAGGGAGGCTACCAGGAAAGGAATAATGAAGGGAGACGATGGGCCTTCATCGGGAGATGTTCCCTCAGGTCTTGGCAGTGGGTTCGCAGCCACACGGGCTGGATTGCGATCGGAAAAGGAGGTATCATCATCTCGCATAAATGAGGACAAATCAAAATTGAAATGTACCTATTGTGGCGGAACCAAGCACACCGCAGAAGGGTGCTTCAAAAGAATCGGGTACCCAGATTGGTGGCCTGACAGCCGAAAGAGGGGGAAGAAGCAGCCTAGGGTCGCTGGGGCAGTGGTGGGAATTCAAGAGACCACCAGCACCACCGCCGTCCAAGCGTCTGAAAACTTCACCGGAATCGCCATGGGTAACGTCGAAGAAGAGAGCAACGGCGTAAGAAGGAGAAGCGAAGATGTTACGGGTAGGGGCGAAGTGATGGGTAGGGTTTGGGGAGAGGGATTAAATACTCTTTCCAAATCAGGCCCAATAAATAGAATCTAGCCCAAATCCCCGCAAATTAAAAATAACGAGTGGATTTTTGACTGTGGGGCTACTGACACGATGTCCTTCGACCGTTCCGATTTTAATTCTCTAAATTGGTCCAAGAAAACGCATATCCAAACGGCCAATGGGAATTATTCTCGTGTCGAGGGCACTGGTTCAATATCTATCTCAAATTCTATACGGCTGGAGAATTGCCTATTTGTTCCCACATTGTCTCACAAATTGCTGTCAATAAGCCATGTCACAAAACAATTAAATTGCATGGTCCTAATGCACCCCACTTTTTGCTTATTACAGGATATTCAGACGGGGAAGATCATTGGGCATGGTTCTGAGCGTAATGGCCTGTACTATGTCGAGGAATTTGATCATTACGGAACAGCTACGCTTGCTCATGGGACAGTGGACA